CCGTTACCGAGCGAAACGAAAATAAAAAATAAAATATATATGAATATTTATATATAAATATTTTATAAAAGGCAACATCGCCTTATATATAAAGAATATACATATATATATATATACACACACACACACACACCCCGAACGGTATATTGCTCGGTATACAGTTTCGTACCGTACCGAGCGAACGTCGAAACTCCGGCATGGTACGGTACGAAATTGCATACCTTAAATGTAAGATTACTTGAACTGGATGTATCAACAACAAAAGATAAAGTCCCCAACCAAACATATTATTTATATTCTTGAAAAGGAAAACTTTAAAACAAATATGCAAAGAAAAGGAAAAGATGAGAAAAAAAATACAACTCCAAAACAATCAACCAGGTAAAATGTTTCTCGATGACTGTTTGAATTGATATAATTAGATTTAACACTTTGTGACAAATTTTAAAACTAAGAAATCTGGATACAGAAAAGTAAACCATAAATCTAGAAGATTTCAAATTTCAGATAAAATAATGTAGGCATGTGAACATGTTTAAGTAACCGTATCCAGCTCCAACCAAAAAAAAAAAGATTTATCTATTGACCCACTTCCCCCATATTCCTGCAACATCAGCTTAGAGTCTGGGCAAGCAGGCTAGTCTGAATCTGTGGAGGAAATAATCAGGACAGGTCCATGGTACAAGAAAAGAGGAGATGGCAGACAATTAAGGCTTTTTTGTTACTTGATAAGTTTTTGCAGAAAACGTTTTCAGAGACAAAAAAAAACAACCTTACAATGGCATTATCAGCCTCAATTAACCATAAACAATGGGAAGCTAATGATAAAGACGAAAATCAAGCACAATAACCTCCAAAAGAAGTCAGCACATCTGATAGTCTAGGAGAAGTCTTAAACATCTTTGCATTACTCATACAAGGATGTCCCAGGAAAATAACCAGATGGGTTCAGACAATTAACCAGGGTGTCTAAGTAGTCAAATTGCTCATGATGGACAACCAAAGTATACTGAAGTTCATTATACTATGCCCAGAAAAATAATTAACAGAAACAGAATTCTAATTAAAAAAATGTAAACCAATATATTCCAGCCACAAAGAATATAACATATGGAATGTTGCAAGTAAGACTTTCTCGATACTCGAAAATCAGCTTAGATACTCCAGAAAATGATGCCAAAGTTAGAGACAAACAAACTAAATCTATATCTGTATTGTATAAGGTTCTCCATCATATTTCAACTTCGGGTATGTCTGGTTCCAAGTGGGAACAGAATAGTGGTGCATCTCTTTGTGCTTGATTTCAAAGACATGATCAAGTTAGTGAAAAAGAGGCCTACATAAATTCGTAAGTGAACAAAAACAATGTTCAAAAGCCACTTCCTGCATACTGCCAAACAAATCAAGTATTGAATTCCATTCATAAAACTCACAGTAGAATGTGGATTTAAGTGACGTTCTACAACATCGATTCAAACATAAAAAATGTGCAGCTTGATTGGGTAAAAACACTATTCTGGCGGCAATTAGAACTCTCTAAATTGGGAAGTAAGCTGAAAAGAGAACTCATGTAAACAGTAAAAAGCAACTTTAGCATTGGTACATGGGTTTAACTCCTCTTCTTGAATAAAACCTGTCTCTCAAACAAAATAAAATTCTTACCCACAGGAATGACACATGTCAACCTGGCCAGTTTTATATATTGATGGAGATGTCACTCATTCACTGCCAGAACTTGACTTTTACTGTTCTCCTCTCCTCTCTTCCTATATTTCTGCCTCCTTTCTCCCTTTCCCTCTCCCTCTTTTTAAGTTCATACTGCTGGCACTGCTATGTCAGCATGGTCATCATACACCATGAACTGGAGAAATAAATCCCAATAACTTCCATGAGCATATCATTACTTGCATATGTAGATGATTATCTAAGGAAAATTTGTGATACTACAAACACATTTGGAATATTTTATGAACTAGAAAACTAGTTTTTTAATTGATTCAGCAAGTGAAGACTTAATGCTACACACAAGAAAAAACCATCAAACTGAGCAGATAACAAAACCAAGCATTTTGTAGCCAAGAAGTTAAATTGTATGTTGGTAATTTCTGAGAAAAAAAAATCAAGTAGCAGCCTTGTGGATCAATATACTCACATCACCTTGATGAGCAATAACAGATGTAACTGGCTTGTTTCTTGGTGTCCTCACATCCCAATAGCATAGACGACGATCACCACCGACTGAACCAAAATGATCTTCATGCTTCAAGTGCCAAGCAACATCCTCAACAACACCATCATGTACCTAACATGCAGGGTATAGTAGTAAGCCTAGCAGTCAGCATTCATTGTTAACAGTAGGCCATAACAGAGGTCCTCAATTAAAATAAGTTGGATGTGTTTTTTGGAGTTCTAAAAATTGGATATATATAGCTTAATAGACCAATCACAAATCCACTAGTGTCCTGCAAATGCAGGTTTTAGGGACTAGTTGACAATCACAGAACTAAATTGAAGAGGTTGCTTCAAAGTCTGAAACCTAAATAGATAGGTTACATGGAAGCAACCTCACAATTCTACCGTGTCCCACCCTTAATCCAAGAAATTTGACACTGAAGAAACTCAGAGCAACATATTCTAGCAAAAATGGAAAGCTTCACTAGTTTCATCAGCCACATGTGACCTAGGTTCCTCCTATATATTTATTTGTACCTCCATAATTTATGTTAGTTATCTGTTCTCATGCTTGCTTTGTTTGCCAAGTAAATGAGGTGTGTTATAGAAAAGATACACAGAAGTGAGTTCTAATATAATTAGCCACGTTGACCGTATACAGTTGGTGCTCAATGTAATTCCCAGGTCAATGCAGACTTTAGCAAAGAAATATCTAATAGACCAGCTAGTGAGGGAATGAGTTATGAGATCTGATACAGCTCATGCTAACAAAGAGCACTGCTCTGACATTTACCCAAGTTGAGAAACCTCAAATAAGAGGAAAGAGATAAGCTTTGTAATAAGGAGCAATTACCATCTCAAACGCATGGATAAGAATCAGATACTAAGAAAACACTAAAATGAAACCAAAAGTTGCTTAATATGTACTTCTATAACTTGCATCCGATGCTCTTTCAGACATTTATATCAACCAAGCATTCCGACAACTATTTTACTGACAAATTCTTACTTGTGCAGTCTACATCCAAATTACCCAACCCATATGGCCCATATAGCATATTTTGAGTTCCTCTCATCCAAAAAATTTGTTCATAAACAAAATAATCAAAAGGAAAGACGAGTTAAAATATGAAAATAAACTGAACCAAAAAGCAAGCACAGAAAAAAAAAAAGTAATTATGAAAACCCTTAAGACTGTCACCTTAAAAATATGAAGAGCATCAAGGGCCTTATTTTCAGGAGTAGCATTAATATCCCACAAGCATATTTGAGCATCATCAGAACCACTCAGCAGATGTCCTTGCTTAAACTGGCTCCAGGATAAACCATATCCTTCAGAGAGATGACCGCTCAACCTCAAATCAGGGTTGCATGCACCATATAATGGAGGTTTTAATGGATGTGTGCTAGAGTCAAAAACATAGACCTCCGCTTTGACTGTCTTTGTTGCAATTATAGAAGGATTTTGTGGCATGTAGCGAGCTCGGTGAACCTCTCCGTCATGATTTATTTGCTGAACTATTCGCACCTGGACATAGTCACAAGCATCGCGAGTTAATAGAATTTTAGGACCCTCATGCACCATAGAAGGGATCCTACCATACCAAGTTATCAGATATCCCTTAGGAATAAATCATAATTTTAGATTTCTTGAGACATCTGTTGAGAGCAAACAGTGGTATGCTGTCAATCATGTTACCATAAAAGCATGTATACAGGGTTCAAGAAGAAGCATTGTTAAAGAACTACTATGAAAACTAAGACATACTTAAAGCATGATCAAACAGATTCTTCAAGACCACTTTCTCAAACAAGAATAAAAAGATATCACGAGGCTTACCAAGATTTAGAAGTCCGTAACCGTTGCAAACTTAGACATGTCTTGGAAACCAAAACAATTCAAGTTAAAGAGGAGAAAAGATAACTTTTTTTTTTGGGTTAGCAACGACTTTAACCTAAAGCACGGATAATCACAAGAAGATAAAAGAAGAAGGGACCAAATATTAGGGCCGAGAGGGAAAAAGAGATCGATCGGAAGCAACCTTGCCGCCGGGTCCGCCGAAGCTGTCGGCATCGCCGCGCTCGCCGTCGAACTGGCGGGCGTCGTACTCGGCGTCCTCGAGGGGAAGCCGGACTTCGGCAAGCATGAGGTAATTGGGCTCGTCGTCGGAGGTGTGGGTGCCGAGGATCATCTTCTGGACGGAGTAGTCCTTCCCGGCGGGCTCCTCGCGGCCGGGGAGCCACTGCACGGTGAGGGAAGGCCACTCGAGGGCGTGTGAGATCAGCATGTCGTACAGGAAGGGCGTGTTCTTCTTCCATATCTTGTACTCCTCGTTTATGACCCGCCCCACCATCGCCCCCCGCAACTCTTCCTCCCCCTTCCCCATCACGTCCTCTTGCATCCCCTCCTCTCTCATATATATAGAGAGGAGAGACGGTAGAAGGGTATATAGTTTTGGTAGGGAAGAAAGCAAGATGGTGCCGGGTCGGATCCAAATATGTTCTAAATCCGAATCCGATAATTCTTAAGTGAGAAGCCACGCTCCACAATTACGGCCGCTGATCGGATTCATACCCACACAAAAGCTGACCCGATAAAGTTAGTACAGATCCGTACACAAGATCGACTCTGATTCCGATCCGAACAACATATAAACCATAATCATGTTAGACTAAATGAATATGAATTCAAATTAGATGTCCAATAGATACGGGTTAGAATGATTTATTTTGATGAATAATGTGAAAATTTCGTTTGATTTGTGTATTGAGAGTATCAAATCTAGAAAAACTATTACTCACAAATTGATTCAATCAAACTCATAAAATACATGAAAATTTGACAGCATAATTTATAAAGGATTGGAATAACAGATATGATTGTTTGTAATGAGGATAAAGAAACAAAAGTACAATAAACGATAAGAGTAGAAATTGGCCTCTATGTTCTTCGATCTGAAAGCCGAGTTTTCTCTAGACATACTCATCTGCGGAATCCAGTCACAAATCGTTGGATTCCTGCAAAGTCCGATATCATCTTTATGTTATGGAAGAAGTTCCCCAACTTTATGCTCATTAAATCCGCAAGAAACTCGGATTGCTCATCACCATTTGTCTGTGACAGAAATTTTCACCAAAATGATTCTGATCATGAAACCAAGTTGAAATCTTTTACTACTACCACTAGTTAGAGCACATACAGAACAAACCAAGGAGGAAAACTTATAGCAGATGCATTACCTCGAAAGCAAAGAAACCACCAGATTTGAGTGCCGAGGCAGAGCCTTCACAGAGATGGAGAAGATGATCCATGCCTGCCTCACCTCCATCTAGAGCGAGCTTTGGCTCATGTTGACCGACTTCAGCTTGTAATCCCGGAATATGGCTACTAGGAATGTATGGAGGATTACTTACCAAACCCATAAGTTTTCCTTCAACATCTCGCAGAGGTTCAAACCAAGAACCCCACCTTAACTCAATCTTGTCCTAAATGGAAAGAAGCAATATATTGGGTAAGGACAAAATGATGATATCTTGCAGACAATTATACAGATCAAGATGCAGAGATTTACTGAGAAAATGCATGAATATGCTTAACTTGTGCCTCCAATCATACAAACAATAAAAAGCTCTATAATGTTTGCCTCCTAAGCAAATGAACTGGTTTTGCTGCCATGAATCATATTAACATCCAGATCATTGTATTACTACAGACTGGGCTAGTTAAAAACATAAACCATATATGTCGAGAAAAGTAGGAGATTAGAACTTTCTAGTACAGGATATATAATCCTGTGTCCAATGATGCACAGAAACATTGACTAGCATAAAAACTTAGTGTTGCTAGCGCAATCAGCACAAGTTACATATTAGTTTTGGCTGTCTATAACATAAATATACCAGGTTAACATTGGGCAATATGCTAAAATATTGCAAATAGGAAACATATAATCAGATAGTCCAGCGTATAGATCGTCGAGAGAAGCATGATATACTAATTTAAAGAAAATTTACAACAGCTTCCAATTTCGAAAATAACAGCAAAGTTCAATTTCCCAATGAATCATTACAGGCAAATACAATCATAGAGTCCAGTGTATAGATTGTAAATAGGAAACATATAATCATAGAGTCCAGCGTATAGATTGTCGAGAGAAGTATGATATACTAATTGAAAGAAGATCGACAACAGCCTCCAATTTC